TCACCTTCCCACTTGGGCTGGGGAAGAGTGGGGTTTGCCCCATGCACGGATGAAGGTTTCCCCAGGAGACAGGCCCAGGACATCATGAAAGGGGAGGCTGCTGAGAAGCCCAGGACCACTTTGTTGGTGTGCTCAGGCTTCATGTCCACGTTCCTCTTGGAGGCTTCCAGGTGTCGCAGACTCTGCCTGTATGGGATACAGCAGTGCCAAGTTAGCTCTGAAGAACAGGTCACCTCCAGAATAACAAAAGTAGCTCCAGCATCCTGGCCAAAGGGGCTCTAACTTGCCCCAGCTAATGCAGCTATTGCTCCTCTGACACCCGAACTTGCATGCCGGCACCGTCCTTGCCCAGAGCCAGCTGGGATTCCTGAACTGACGCTGTGTTGTGCAGAGCAGATGTATGGATGTGTCCCCATGTCCCCACGTTCCCAACAGAGTCTCACCGTGGGAAACAAAGCTGGCTCATACAGCAGCGCTGCAGGCTGCCAGCCACAGGGCCAGCCACAGACTCGTCACTGCAAGTGAGAAGGCCTCCAGCACGGAAGTCCGGTGGAAACTTGCCACCAGAGAGTTCAGTACCCATCATTTTCAGGTCCTGGTCTTCCCCCTTTCTTCTTTGTTTTTCTCCATTATTAGAGGCAGCATCCGTGCTGCGTGCCAGGAAAGGGATCCTGCCAGGACGAGAAGGTCCAGGAACAGAGCACTTAAGTGTGGGGGCTCTTCTCTTCACAGGTAGCCATATGGAGAAGACAAGGGGCAATGGGTACAAGTTACACCGTGAGAGGTTTCATCTCAACATAAGGAAGAAGTTTTTTTGTAGCGAGAACAGTCATTCACTGGACCTCCCCAGGGACGTCGTAGAGTCCCCATCGCTGGAGGTTTTCGAGATGCAACTGGACAGGGTGCTAGATAATCTCAGCTAGGCTCCCTTTCCCACGAAACATTGGACCAGATGATCTTTCCAGGTCCCTCCCAACCTGGGCTGTTCTGTGATCCTGTGATCCTGACCTCCTCCACTCCCTTCCCTCCGTCCTTTACCCGCCATGTGCAGCTTCTGCTGTCCCTGCAGGGCACGGCTGATGCCCCGGGGAGGACATTCATCACATCCTTCTCCCCTACCCGCCACCCCCTTTTCCAGGGTTTGTAGGAAATGTGTATTTTTGAGAGCTCCACCTCTCTATGGGTGCAAAAGGGCAACGGTTTCTAACTTCACCAGAGGGGATGGGCTGATGGCAGCACAGACACCCTCCCACACCAGCCGCATCACCCACATCTCCCGAGCACGCCACGAACAGCTCCAAGAGCTTCAGGGGCAGATCCAGTGACTCTCCCAAGCCCTTGTGGCTCCAAACCCCAGAGATGCTGAAAACACTGTGAAAATTGTCAGCTTTGGGCTTCAAATGGAGTGCAGCAGGGAAGCTGGGAAGCCCATTGCCATCCATCTGAGGGATGCCCACCCCTCTCTTTGGAGCGGGTGCTCTGCCATGGAGTTGCGTGCTTCATCTCCACACTGTGACAAGCTGCCTGGGCTGGGGCTGGTTCTCACTGCGCAACAAAACCTTGTTAGACACAGCCCAAGCCAGCCAGCTCCTGCAGCGTTCCACAAAGAGCAGTCACATTTTAATCTGATGAAGAGAGCCAGTGATAACGCCACCGAGCCTGATCTCCAGGGTTTCTCCTTCTCCCCAGGGATGCCTGGAGGCAGGCTGCCTCTCCCCTGGGGATGGCCACCATCCTGTGGAACCTCGAGGTGACAGAAATGCGGCTGACCTCCCTCTCCCCCAATTCGGGGGGCATGGCATGGTGTGTGCCAAGAACTGACCTCTGGGGCATCCCTCACCCTCTCTGCCCTGCTCTTCACCTCGACCCAGTGCCTCTCCCTTGACACTTCTTTCTGTTGAGAAATGGTCATACCCACCTCCTCCTTTCATGATAGCTGAGCAGCCCCTGAAGAAATGGAGGCATCACTGGAGCTTCGAAGAGTTTGGCTATTTAATTGGTGTACTGATAAGACATCATCATCTCTACGGCATTTGAATGGAGGAAAAAGGAAGATACTTCCCTCCTTGCGTCCTTCTTTCCATCCACCCATCCACCCATCCATCCATCCATCCATCTCTCCCACGGCATATTCCATATTCTGCAAAACAAAGTTTGTCTTTACAATTTCACAGGCAGTTAAAAACCTGCTGCTAGCTAAAAAGTCCAGCCTGGCTGCCCGGAGAGGAAGGTCTGTTGGAGGAGGAGCGCAGTGAGGGCTTGGGGGAACATCTGCTCTTTCTCGTGTTTGCTTTTGTAATTCAGTATTTGCATAAAAATTTAAAAGCAGGTGGTTCGGTGGCTGCTGTCTCCCTTATTCCTGGTGCCAAGCTGCTGCATGAAAATGTCTCTCACTTCTGCAGAGGAGCTGATGTGCAAACAGCAAACAGGGCTGTGGGTTCAGAGATCCCACACAGCTGTCCACATACGCAGGAGATGGCCGCAGTCATGGGTGCACCAGGGCACGCTCCTTGCATCAGGCACCGATTCACCTGGAGGGGAGGTCTGAAGAGCACCTGGTGCTTCAGCTCTCACCAGAGAACGGGGAAAGCAAAGTCCTCCCCCCAAATCCCTGTCTCCTGCGGCTTCTGAGCAAAGGGCAGGTGGTGGCAGGGACCCGGCGGGAGCTGCTCCAGGAGGCTGCGGTGCTCGCATTCGGACACACTCCTTCCTCCTCTGCTGGAGCCTTGGGATGAGCCGCTGGCATGGAAGTGCCTAATTCGATGTCCCACTCGGTGGTGGAGCCCTTTTGCAGCAGGACAGGAACACCACGCTCACACCTGGAGCTTGGTGCCCACCATGGCTGCTGGAAGGTACACCCCAAAACCCCGACATAGTACCCAAAACCGATGCCACCCGGCGCACCTGTCCTGGTTATCCCTTTCCTTTCCTCCTGTGGGTAACGTCTTGAGGTGGGAGCACCTCCGAGTAAAGCTGCATGGCACGGGGTAGGACTTGGGATCCTGGACACCCTGTGAAGGCGCCAAATTCCTCCTGCAGAGTTGCCAAAATCCCTCCAGACAGACCATCTGCCAGGGCAGGCAGGAGAGGCAGCAAGAGGGCGACAAGTTCCTGCTGCATTTGGGCTCCAGCGATGAAGAACAACCCCTGCCCAACGCCCTCCTTCCCACTTCTCATTTCACTTCCCCCGTCCATGCACTGGAGACAGCTGTTTGACAGCCAGCTTCATAAAGTGTCATCATTAGGCACAAGAGTTAACAGCCCTTTTCTTTCCCCTTCCACTGCCCCAGCTTGACTCGGGCAGGTCTGCTCTTCCAGGATGGATAGTTATCACTTCTTCTATGTTTGGGGACACAACACCGAGCTGATTTTGCCCTGGCTGTGGCCCCAGCAGGTTATCCTCACAGCTGGGAAGATGTGAAGCTTCCTTAGGGGCCCAGACATGCGCACTGATTTTCATCCTGAAAGAGTGATGGGGAGTGGGGTGGCCGGTGTCCCTCTGCCCCTCTGGGTGCAACCCCCCACCATCTGCAGCTGGTGGCTCCAAATCAGGGTGCTGATCCCCCGCTTGGCCGTGGGGAGGGAGCGCAGACAAACCTGGAGGTGCTCTGGAGCAGAGACAAGCGTGCAGACGTGGCCAGCGCGGGGATGCTGCCCGTGGCCGCTTGCCCGTGGCACTTTCCCCCGTGGCAACCATGTCACCCCACGCTCCGACCCCGTGCCGGGGCGGAACGCTGAGCAGCGTCCCCGGGGCTGGGGGCTCCCGGCATCTCGCTGTGACACGGCGGGTGGCTGTGCTCGACCTTTGTTCTCGCTGGCATCTCCTTGGCGGATGCCGGCGACTGCAACCAAAGCCCCGAGTCCCACCGCGCCGGCAGGTCAGGAACAACGAGCCCCTTTCCGGAAACGAGGAAATAAAAGAAAGCAGAAAAGGACAATTTAACATCCAGGAATGGAAATGACTCAAGGGGTTTAAAATGCAGAGTAAAAGAGGAGGAGAAGGGTCCCCGGCCCCTTTCTGATGGCCACGTGGCTTTGTCACAAGTTTGCACGTTGTCCCTCGCGTTTCCTACCTTGTCCCTCACGTCAGGGTTCAGCCCGTGCTGCCTGTGCAGTGGGGCTGGAGGGCACAGAGGCTTCCAGCCTCGCTGCCTCCTTGCTGGGCGCTGATGGCTTCCCGAAGGCCGCCAAGGCTTGGGGCTGTCCCCGACGCCGGGAATTGGTTTTGGTCCTGCGGAGCAGCTGCCGGAGCTGGAGGCTGGTGGGGGGGACGGCCAGGAGGGTGAAGCCGCGGCACAGCAGAAGACAGGGGTGCGCATACCCAGGAGCGTGTCCCTGACTGCGTCACGCTCACGAATCTGTGTTATCCCGTGCATGAGGAGCCGCCAGAGGGTTTCCAGCCACGCTTTTCCCCTCTTCAAATTGCTGAGAAGGGGCTTTGTGAATGCACCCATGGCATCACCTCCCTAGGGGTCTGATGGATGGAGAGCCGTGGCAAAGGTACCCTTGCTGGGGAGCTGGGATGTCCCCTGGGTTACTCAGGTGCCGGTTTTGGGACATCCCAGCTGCACAGCAGGCGGTCCTGCCCTGCCCCAGGTGAAGAGGGCAGATTTAGATTAGATATTAGGAAGAAATTCTGCACCATGAGAGTGGTGAAACCCTGGCACAGGTTGCCCAGAGAAGCTGTGGCTGCCCCCTCCCTGGAAGTGTTCAAGGCCAGGTTGGATGGAGCTCTGAGCAACCTGGTCTGGTGGAAGACGTCCCTGCTCATGGCAGGGGGGTTGGAACCAGATGATCTCTAAGGTCCCTTCCAACCCTTACCATTCTATGATTCTATGATTCTAAGAAGAGAGCACCCAGGACAAGAAGTCAGGGGGAGCAGGGGCACCCCAACCTTGTGCGACCCTCACCTGGGGCTAGACCCAGCATCGCCCCAGACAAGGGGCAGTCTCAGGGCTCCAGCTCCAAGGCGTGGAAGCAACCTGCTCTTTCCTGGAGCAATGGGGCAGGTAGGAGCAGTGCTGGAGCCATATCTTGGGGGACAGCTGCCCATGGGGACATCCCCATCAACCTCTTTCCAATGGGGCTGGCCCTGGTCCCCCCATTGCTCCAGCTGAGCCCCCAACAAGGCTGCTTGGGTTTCCCCCTGGGCAGGGAGGGATCTTTCTTCTCCTTCCTCCACCGAGGAAGAGTAGTATCAGTCACCAACTCACGAAGCAGCAAGAGAAGGAGTGAGGAGACTGCGCAAAAGCCAGGAGGACCCCATTCCCACCACATTGAGTAGTGTTCTCTGTCTGGGTTGTGGCCGTGGGAAAAGCCACGGGAATGGGCTTTGCATCCTGGTACCCTCGGGGACAGCCTGGAGGCTCCCCCCCACCGTGCACCCCACACGGATCCTGGCACCGGGAAACAGCACAGGAAAGGCGCTTGTGTGGTTCCTTGAACTCCAGCTCTCCTTCCCACCTGGTTGCACCTCGAATCGGGAGCTTGGGAGAGAAGCCGGTACCTGGAGGGAGCTTCACAGGGCAGATCACCATGGAGCGGTTTGGGGGGTTCAGCATCCCACAGCTGGGGGTGGCTGGGGGACGCTCTCACCACCGCAGCCCAGCCTAAAGCCGGCTGCAAACCTCCTCTCCATCGCAGGCACGTCCAGCTGCCTGCAGCGCCCCGGTTACCCGGGCTCGGCACGGCCGAGGCATTTGGGGAGCCGCGAAGACAGCCGAGGTGATCTCATCCCACGAGCATTTTCTTGGCTCATTTGTCTCGCTCCAACGCCTCCCCGATAAGGCCCGGCGGTGAGGTCAGTGGGAGGGTTTTGCATTGTGGAGCCGTGTGTCACCCGCGGAGCCGGGGACACTGGCACCTGCGCTCGCCTGCCGCTCCCATGGATCCATCCAGAGCCGCGAGTCCCTGCCCCACTGCACGGCCCCGGCCGGGCTTCCCACCCGCTCGCTCCCGCCTGGGCAGAGGGTCCGTCCAGGCAGCACCCGCCTTCCCCCAGGGGGAAAATGAAAAGTTCGAGGCCTTTCTCACATCCAGCATTAGAAAGAAAAAGAGGAAGCTCTTCAGATCACTTTCCAGAGGGGTGTTATCAGCCCAGGAGGGGTTTCCTCCTGCCAAAAATAGAGCGGTGTTAAGATAGGAAGGGAAGTGGGATGACGCAGGCATAGATAAGGCTGGTGGATGAGCCAGGAGAGACACCCCGGCTGCCGGGGGAGCTGGGCTGGGTCCCCCGGGGCTCCGGATGGGTCACCCCATCCCCGTGGGAAAGAGCAGGGCAGAGCCACAGCTGGCTACCCCGGAACTGCTGCCGCTGGGCTCAGAGCGGTGTGTCCGTCCATCCGTCCAGCCATCCAGCCTTCCATCTGCCCGGCGCTGGGCCTGAGCTGCTGTTTCCAGGCTCAGTATGCGCTTGGGGACATGGGGACAAGAGCCATGCCCTCCTCTCCTCCCCACGAAGGCAGCAGCAGGACCGTCTGCACGGCACAGACCCTTGCCGGGGTTTCAGGGTCTCCCCAACACCCGCAGGGCTGGTGCTGATCACCATCTCCAAAACTCCAGCTGGGTGGCTTTGACTTGTCACTGATAAAACTGGGCTGAAAAACTTGTTTCTTGAGCCCTGTTACTGTCTGATGAGCTCCTGGGTGCCAAGCACAGGCTCAGGACCTGCCTGGGTGGGGATGCTGTCAGGCTTTGTTACGCTCAAATCCTGACTGATCACGCCAGAGCCGCATCCTTCATCTCCGGGTCTGTAACGCGGCGCTCCTCTTCCTCCAGTCACCGACTCCCCCTCCCTGTGCACCTTCTCTGCATGCTCCCCTGCCTTTCGGTCTCTGCTTCACGTTGGGTTTTTTTCTTTCTTTTTTTCCCCATTTTTTGGAAGAAAACCCAGAGGGAGAGGGTTGAGCCTGCAGCCACCTGCCTGCTATCGCATCCCGTGGCTTTCAGGGCGCTTGGGTTGGCCCCGGGGGTGATACCGGGGTGAGACGGGGTGGACCACACACCAGCAGAAGCAGCAAATCGAGGAGACGAGGCTGGAGACCCCCGCGTCCTCCCTCCCCAGAGTCTGCGGCGGTCAGAAGATGCCGAGTTCCCTCTCACAAGAATGGGAGCTTAATGTCCCGTAGCTAATTAGCAATTTTCCCCTGCACCTGCCTTGCCGCTGCCGC